GAATATCTTTTGGCATCAGTCATTGTTGTCCCAAGAGCAGAAAAACATTGTAAAGCTGCTTTACTTCGATGAAATTTAGTGGTACCCAGAGCTAATCTCTCCCCATTAAACAATGATAGTAATTTCTGAAGAACTAATTGCACAAGGTTATCTCAAAGGGTATTTGAGAAGGCAAAACTGGGGCAATAGTTTTTTGATCCAGCCAGCACACCAAGTCACAGCAACACGTCCAGAGGGCAGGTTCTACTGTAAGCATTCAGTAATGACATCTTCATACAGCAAGTACCTTAGGGCTTAACAAGCATGTGTCTGCCTTGGAGAACTCCATCTTTTCCCATCCCTCTAAACCCACACACACTTGCAAGTCTTTTCACAAAATGGCAAAACTATTTCTCTACTATTACTGCTTCTATTAAGCAGTGGAGCAAATTGCTCCCAGTATCTAGTGATCAAATTACCTTGTCCAGTGAAAGCAGATAGTGACCAAGAGTTTAGCAACAGTATCAAATCTAACCTTACCAGCTCAGAGTTCCTACCACAGACTGGGATGAACAAGTTAATGACTGAGACTGCGTATGGATCCAGAATCATGTTACATTACTACAAACAAAAAAACCCAGTTAGAATAAAATGAAAAAGTCATTACTCTTAGCAACAAAGTATAACTGCAGTGTAGACAATATTCATGAAGACCAATCCAGAGATGGATTCTGCATTCTCTTTGGAAGATGGAATACATGAAATCTAATTTTTCTATGCCATGTACCTATGTGACCATTCTTTCTTATTCAAGAGAGAGGAAAAGAATAGCATTCTTATCTGGTAACATTTTCAAAATATTAGACAGCTGGGATAAAACAACAAAGTTCCTACCTGGACTTCTCCTAGTCTTGGAAATATTTAAATACTGGGCTCTGATTCTCAAGTGGAAAAGGAAAAATAATACAGATTTTTCCTGGATGGAGAAACTACAGTGAAAACTATGGAGTCTGTATTTATGTACTTCCATACCTGTTATCTAAAAAGATTTATTTTGGAACAGTTTTAAAATATTTGGAATACATAAAAGCAAGTCAGAGTTATTTTATACTACAGTCTTAAAAGGCAAAAACATATGGATAGCACCCTTTATTCTGAACAGCCATTTGTTTTCTGCTCCCATGAGAATGCGACTTCACTATCTAAGACTTCTAGAGAATTATCAATGAACAACACACTAAAATTACATAACTTTGGACTACAGGTGTTGCTGGCAGACAGGTGAGCACGTGGCACTGGCAATGTCTTCTTGCATTAAGACAAGGATGTTATGTTTCCACTACACAGAGAAAGGTCTATGTAACAATTGTACCATCCTGCACAAGTGAGCCTGCAGCAGCAAGGGAACTCTCAGAAAGTTTGGATAAGTTTTTCCTCCCTCATTTCCAAAAATAAAACTTTCTATTTTGGTTTGAGAGCTTTCATTGTTGCAGGTGCTCTATGCTGGACTACAGAGAAGCACAGCACTTGGAGAAACGGCTGACAGTTAGCAGCAACTCAGGCTGACTTGAGTGTTGCCTTCTGGGATTTCCATCATGTTCTTTTCCAGTTCTGTAGAAACAAAAAAGTTATAAAATTAATTCACAAGAAATTATGCCATCCAATACTAAGGGTAACAAAAGCTGAAAGCAGCCCCAGTCACTCCTATATGCTAGAACTCAGGTAGACACTGACATGAATATGCCTGCAGGTGTTTGAAACAGGCTTTAATGCTTGAAAAATCTCCCCAATCCTTCAGACTGTAAACAAGGAAAATACACACAAAAAGCCAAACTTAACATACTGATGAGGTTTCCTGCCCCAATTTGGGCCATATGCCCAGCAGTTTTCTCCAGCTCCTTTATCATGGACTGTTCAAAGGCCAAAGCAGCAACTCGGGAAAAGAACTCTTTGACATTTTCCCCTAGGAAACAGGACAGAAATTATGTGTTTTTACAACTGCATATCAACACATGATCAAGCATAACAAGCACATCTGTGAACAGATCACTGCTCAGGACTGGGACAGAACAGGCCTCTCCAACAATCTGTCCTCCATTCTGATCACTGCAGAGAGAATTTCTCATTTTCCTACTCTGGAATACTGTACCTTTATTTTTAGTCAGCAACAGAGAGAATTCAGTGTGTGGTATAATCTTTTTTTCATTGCTAATGTTGAGTAGCAGAGCACATGTGTATCTATGTAACTACCTATGAATTAAACATGCTTAGACATTGCACAGCAGCTCAAGTACTCCTTTCTGTAAACATGACAGTGCAAGCAAACATACAAATGCTCAAATAAAATCAACCATAAATAAACCTGAAGTTTCCAATAGCAACAAAATGCAAGAACAACAAAAAAACCTGCATGGGAATGGAGGAGATAAGGAACTTGAACTTCTTCCCACCTTAACATAAGCCTTTGTGGTTATGCTATTTTTACACCCTTTGCAATAACTTACCTGTTTTGGCTGAAACCGACCAGTATTCTGCCTGCATCTCATTGGCAAAGCGGATGGCATCTAGCTCTGTCCTTTCACACACAGCGTCTGACTGAGTAAATAACATGGAATAACTTTAACATAAGAAGTGTATCTATCTGGGCTGGTAATAACATAGAGGTACTGCCAGCACCTATACTGTGATGCTTCCGGTCTTCACAGTGGCCTTTCTGGCCTTGCCTTAGAACCTGTGAAATCAGACATGATTGCAAGAATATTCAAGTACTTAGTACTGCTTTTAAAATGGAAGTCTCCTTTCACCTCCCACAGCATTGAAACAAAACAGTTATCAAGTGTGACCATTGTATCTAACTTCATAGTGTGGTAGGAAGCTATAAAGACAACAGCCCAGTTACTGGTCTTTAAATTCTTGACACCCCGTCATTCTCAGCAGAAGAGCTGCAGGACCTACTAATCACAATGGTTCTTTGGGTTTAATCTTTCTTGTCTCTGTCTCAGATCCTTTTTTCTACTCCATCTATTTTTACTATGTTGTAACACAATGGCCTCCCCCCCTTTTTATTTTTGCTCTATTTTATCTCTTCTTAAAGACTAAATTTCTTGCCCCTTCAATGGCTTTTGCTTTCTTGCACTTAATTTTCAGGTCGTTTTCCCCTCTCATTTGTTCTCTGTGATCAACTGTATCAGTATGTTGCTATTTGCTTTCAATTTCTAGCCCATTTGTGATGGATGATACCAGTTATCTTTTTACAGTTTTCTGTGCACTGTCTTACAATGGGGAACCCCTGTACAATGGAGAAGAATTCTAAAGATTTGGAAAGGATGATGTGACATCAAGACGAGAAGTAGAGTGAATGCAGTTAGGAAGATACTGGCTTCATACTGAAGTAATACCTAGAACCCACAATCCTTTGCTTTGCTCTCGTCTCCCTTTCAGTTGAAAGTGCTATCATTCTAAAAACAGAAACTAACTTACAGTAAGGAATTCTAGCTTAGACAAGACTTCAGATCTGCATCCTCAGAGGTCTGGCACATTTAGCTTTTACTGCAACTCAGAAAAAGCAGCATAAGCAACACAAAGTACCAGAAAAACTGACAGACATGCAGTTTTCTGGGACTTATTTTCAGTGAAGGGTAAGAAACAAACTGCATAAGTGATACTGTGGCAGCTGGGGGGGTGGGAAATAAAAAAAAAATAAAATCCACTAAACAGCAGAAGAAGCAAGTTTGCTTTGAAATCTTTAAGAATTAAGTATTGATAGCTAGAGAAAGAGACAAACACAAGACTCAGAATGGTATAGGGTGAGTGCATTATATCCTGTTCCTGAGAAAATGATGTCACATTCAATTAAGTAAGAATTCTTTCCTGTTCCTGAAGAATGAACACACTGTCCCTTAAAAATAAAACCAACAAAACCTTCAAGATCATTAGGTACTCCGTTCTTTTGTGCACCCAACTTCTCTCTGCCTTTTCATTGTTTGTATGTACTTGAAAAACATCATGCAAGGAATGGAAATAGGGATATTTCACTAACTACCCATTTTTTCAGAAAGCGTCTTCTTAAATTGGTTCCAAGTATGCTGATCTGTTTACCTGATCTTCTTTCTTTCTGTTTAGGTTTTTCCCTCAAGGTCTTTATCTCAACAATGTTGTGTACAACGTGTAAGGGAAATCACTTGAGGAACTAGGGGAAATCTGATTTCCTTATCTGCATTCAATTTACTTACCACCAAATCTTTTTTTGTTCCAACTAGAAAGATGAAGCTGGAATCTGGCTCATTCTCCCTCAATGCATCTTCTAGCCACTGTCTGAAATACGAAAGAGAAATGAGAGAATCAGTCAGAGGGACTGAGGAATATAGGAGAAAGTGAGAGGATGAACTTATGTGAGAGTATCAAAAGCTTTTTTTACTAGACAGAAAGAGACCAGGAGCTATTCCAACTCCTTTGGATACATGCCTTCCACTAATGAAAAGTTCAAACACGCCCACTCTAGAGTGCAAATTCAACAATGATTTTAGCACCCAGAGAGGGTATTTATCAGTATAAGGGAGGGGGCAAAGTTTGCATCGAGATAAGGAATAAGAAAACAAGAAGCAGAGGAAAAGATATGAACAACAGAGCAGATTAGATACAAACAGAAATAGAGTAGTGAAATAATCTATTCAGCATTATAAAACAGCTCCCTGTGAAGGCTGCATGATTCTTGTCTCATAAGCTTTTATATTTTTGTTACTCTGGCAATCAAGTTCCTCTTGAGTCATCCAACACAAGTCAAGGAGGGAAGGGAGTGTGTGCGTGTGTGGGAAATCAGGTTCACAAGCTTCAATTATTTTCAGCCAAGCAGAGATACTAATATATATATTATTTTACAAAGTCCTATGTAAATGAGCTAAGTACCACAGCAGTAGTCTAAGGAAATAGTCTAATACACATTCAAATAAGACCAAGTACAAGTTGTAAAGAAACATGTACCTGCATTACAGTCACAACAGTATGTTAGATATATGTACGCTCTGAGCTGGCGACAACAATGTGGATCATAGATCCATGTAGGGTTTTGCAGCCAGCACTAAAAGCAGAACAAGTTTACTCATAACAATTAGTGAGTTGTTGTAACCAAACCATTACAAATATCTGAACCAGTGAGTAGCTATATCTACATATACTTTGAGTTTTTAATTTTCTCTCCTCTTTTTGACACCCTATCTCCCAACAGAATCACTACAGAAACTAGAGAAAGAAAATAATTTCAGGCTAGCAGTGCACCTAGAAAATGCGAGGCTCTTGAGACATTATGCATGCGATGCATCTCATCAATTTCACCATTTACAGCAGATGCCAGCCTGGTATTCTGTTTATAGCAAATGGAGAAAAAAAAAGGATGCTTTTGGGGTGCACTTCATCTCTTCCTGTATGTCTAGTTTTGGAAGGATCAAGCTCTTACTGAAGTGCCTTTTTCTCTCCATTGACTATAAAGGAAGTCAAAGGTAAGTAGTTCAAATTTATGCTCTGTATTTTCTTCAGAAAAATCCCACCTTACATAATCCAAACAAGTGACTGTCATTCTTCATTTCTTAGCTCAATAGAAAATACACTCACAATCCAGCAAGTTCTCAGAAACTACAGGATACCCAAGGCAATTAAGCCCGCTGTAAAAGCTTTAAAGGCTAAGCCGAAATACAGAAACTTACTTGGTGTGATCCAAAGTCTGGATATCAGCCAGATCAAACACTGTTATTATAACTGCAATAAAAGACAAGAACAGAAATAAGTAATTAAGTTAGAAAGCATATCAGAAGTCTCTCCAACTCATCTTGTTAAACGGAGAGAATGTTTACATATAAAGTGCAAGATTTTACAGATTTTACAGAGGAGATGGAAAACTATCCATTTGCTCATTTCTCTTCCTTCTCTAGCACCCAGTAAGACTGAAGTCCACAGTCTTCAACCTTATTTAGTCTTTACCTGTACTCTGCAGTCTATAGTGCTATTACTCCTTTTATTTTGGGACCACTTTAATTCCTGCAGAAATTGTCTTACCAAAGAGAATGCCAGAAGTATCCACTTCTAACTTCAGCAATAATCTTACCCAAACCCAAATTCTTTTCCCCCTAGATACAAGTGCCAATTTTTTTTTGTCACTGCATCATCAGAACATTCAGAGCTTGCGCAGGTGTGACAACGTGAGCATGAGCATTTTAGTCCCTTCTTCTCTCCAATAACAGACAATCCATTCCACTACACTGTGTCTACAGGTACCTTTCCAAGGAGCACATATGCATGTATGTTTCCATATAAAGTACAATCTCCTGTCACAGCCAGGATCAAATTAATATTGTTCTCACCCTCTGCTCCTCGGTAGTAAGCAGATGCAATGCACTTGAACTTTTCCTGACCTGCTGTGTCCCATCTGTGCAATGGGGGAAAAAGAAATTTCAGGTTAATGGAACCCAGTGTAACCTGAGTAAACATGCTAATGAAGCAGCAGACTGGTACAAGTTAGAGAAGAATGTGATACCAGAGAAGTGTTACCATCTGGAACATGTTATTCATTAACTACAGATAGAAATACAATAAAGCTCTATTATTTAATGAAGACATTTGAACTCTGTTTTTTATCTTTTTTTTTTTTTTTTTAATACTGGTCATTTTGGAGACACAATTCAACTATTCATATTCTGCATGGTAATACCCTTTTCTTAAAACATTTTTTCCTCATCTATGTCGTCATTTGCATATATTTCTAGGGCAATCTAATTTTGAAAATTTTCTGTGCTAATACTAGCTAAACCATATATTAGCCCATATTAAAATCTTGCAACTGCTAGATATGATATCTGTCCATACACTACAAATTAGAGATCTACAGCTCAGTCCACCAGGTCCTAATGACACCATTAAAGAAAATCAAGAAAGTGTTTCTTAATAATGAACATGATATGCAGTCCACTCAGGTACTGCCAGCACTACAGTGGTATGGGTTTTTGTTAATAGCCTAGTACTGCCAGTCACGGATACTTGCAAATTTATCTTGTATGAAAATCTCTCAGCAAGAGAGGGCACTAGTGCTTATCATATGGAAATGTTCTACCCAGCCACTGAAGGTTCTGCAGATAATGCAACCTGACATTTAGTAGCTCATGAACCTTATTGCTTCAGCTGGCAAAATACTGATGCATCAGTCTACACTTTTAGAGGGACTCAGGTTCCAAGAGGATAGTGCCTGGCAGAATTTTCAAAAACACAACAGCACTGAAATCACTGGGAAATGGATTTCTAAGTATTTTTCAATAAGTCCCACTAGCTGTCTATTTATATCAATGATATGTCAGAAAAAATGTGTTCCTAAGTGAAAAAGTTTTTAAGATTCATGCACTAAAATACTTCATGCAAAGCATCTTATTTCTGCTCTAGGTCATACTACAGCATAGATGATTCAATAATGCCCTCTACACAACAATATTGCTAGCCACTGGAAATACCAAAGGACATCCTTCAGCAGAAGCAAAGCAGGTGAGAGAAGGCCAGGATTTCCACTAGTCTCGTAAAGAAAGCTGAAAATCAAAGATTTTAGGTTCACATTCTAATAAAAACACTTGAGTCTTCCTATGATTTGGGGAAAATCAGTTAGTCCCTAGCTAAGAGATGTTGACATCACTGGACACTTTACCATTAATTTCAATGGCTGCAGGAATAAAACTCCCAGTAAAGCCAAGTTCAGTGCTCATTGTGCCTACCAAACTCAAATGACAGAATGGTGTAACAGTAGAACAGCCTGTGGCAAAAGCTTCCACTTCTCTTTCAAGAAACTTGACTGAAAAAGGGATAACTCCACTGAAGTGGCGCAAGACATCCAAGATGAATTTTCATTGACAAACTTATAACATTTTTTAGGGATCAGAAATCCAAGAGAGTAAAATTTTTACTAAAACTGCAAGTCCAGGTACAGAACCTATTTTTCAGATCACATTATTCTTCGTGTAATTTTATTATTTTTTAAAAATCTTTATTCCACTAGAGCCTGCAGCAATTCAAGCTCTGCTGAGACTGTACTCTGTGCAATACTTAACCACACTGTTTCAACTTACATCTGGAGATTGTACGGTATTCCAATTATTTCAAAACGTTCGATTTCAAAATCCACTCCAATGGTCGCCTTGTAGTCTCGGTCAAAATTATTTTTACAAAATCTGCAATAAAAAAAAAAAAAGGATGAAATACGAGTAACGCCCAGCTACAAATATCTGCAAAACTAACACTATCTAGGGTAAATCATGAAGAAAAGAATTAACTAACTGTGGAGTGGCTATATATTGCAGAAGCATATATAAAAACACCAAGAAACTAATTAAAAAAAAGGAGATACTGGGTAACAAGTATAATCCATACATAACTGTATGTGGAAAGCACATACATCTAGGAAGCTCTCAGGATGAGAGGAGTATGAGAATAAAATATCTTTGGACTGTCAAGGAAGATACAGTATCTTATAGTTTTAGTTACAAGGGAATATATTTTGGGTCATAAATAATGACCCAAATGATTAATCAATGAGATTAAAAACTTACCATATCTACTTAAGTACGTGGAAGAAATAATAATAATAATAATAATAATAATAAAAAAACCACAAATATAGAGAGAAAGCTGTCATGGTGATCATAAGCTACAGAAATTCAGTGATCTCTTCACTGGACTTACATAAAAACAGCTCTTATGCTTTTTGTAACATCCAGTAAAGAATCAAATAACTATTCTTTAAGGCATTTTGCATTTTATCTGTCTTATTTTATAAGCTACGGAAAACCTCGAGCTTCCTCTACAGTCTTGCAGCTGTAGAAATGAGTACAGGTACCCATACAAGGATGACTTAAAAATGTTTCAGTGAACAACCCTATAAGTAAGGAGAAAACATGAAACCAAGACTCAGACACTGGAAAGATTTTTTTTTTTTTTTTTGTACCTTCTGATTGTTTAGCCTTTAGACTGGATTTCTTAAACACCGCATCATATTTGACTGGATAAAAATAGTTCAGAATATAAGATATACTGATTGAAGTGCCAGAGCATGACTTTCTGTGTTGGTATATCAAGCCTGTCTCATGCTGTAGACTTTGTCTTGTCTTTTATTTAATAACAAAACCATGGCTCAAAACAGAACCATGAAGTACTACCCCGAATGGACAGGAATGGAAACATTTTAACATTTATTTGAGAAAGAGCAGAATCAAACCATCTGCTGAGGTATACCATACCTGTTGATAAGGCTGGTTTTCCCAACATACAGATCTCCTACCACAACCACTTTGGATATTTTCAGCCTGTTATAAATATTTGAAAACATTACATGTTTTTAGTAGCAATTTCAACATTCCCTCTCTAAAAGTTTTGATTTACATCCTTAAATTGCAAGTGATGAGCACATGTACCTGTGACCCTAGTTTACCTAAATGCTGCTGTGCTGCAGGAATAGACTCTTGAATTGTAACAAAGAAAAAGGTCACCAAAAAAGAAAACCCTCTGGAGCAGAAATAGTCTGTTTCTTACTCTGCATATTTTTTTTCTTAAATATAATCCAGTGGGACATAAATTCTATTCTACTAAAATTGCTTTGACTACAAGTATATACACTTGGCAGTTTGCACATAAGACCATAGAGTATCTGCATCCTTTTCATTGACTTTAATAGTACAAATCAAGTCCTAAGTGCAGAAACAAGAAATTGCTGATAATAAAAAAACCCACTGCAGAATTTGTCACTGGGAAAAAAAAACCCACATGGTTAGAGCAAATACATTTTCTGACTATCTGGAATAATATTAATCTGAAGCTGGCTTCATGTAAATAATCCTCTTTGCTCTGGGTCCTCCCACAGAATACAGCAGATGGGCTTTAGGTGACTCAGCCTGCATTCTTAAAATTGAAGTGTTGTGTATCTTTTAGGAGGTACAGGTGGATAAGTGAATGTAAGTGTATTTGTTGACCTAAACTTGGATTGACATCTCCCATGCACGTGCTACAAAAATGGCTTAAGAGGTTTAATGTTCTTTTGTATGAAGGAGTGGCTTTTTAAACAAAGGAATTAATCTTCTATTGAATACTATTTCTGGTTATATCAGGCTTCCACGTGATGCTGATTCCAAGTTATCTGTTCTAAATAGTCCAAATCTTGACTGGTAAGCTGCATGACTAATATTTCAGAAAAAAGAAGGCATTTTGTGTGCCAGTCATCGCTAATTGGGTGGCCACAGGCCTCTAAGCCACTGACATGTCTCTGCCTGATTAACTGTTACTGATAAAATACCGAATAAAATCAATGACCTTAAGGGAAAAGCAAAAAAGTAAGCGATGGTTTAGCGGTGTGTGTTCCATTAGTTCATACTGGGGGAAAACAACTCCCTAGATTAGACAATTTAACACATTGATGGAATATCAAAAGAGTCTTAAATACAGTCATTAGCTACTGAATTTCTCAGACTACCTTTCCAAATGCCAAAGAAATATTCCGTTACTTGGGATAATGGAAAAGGAAGATAATGGTTATTCCTGTCAACTTTTACAATTACTGTACAAAACACTCAGTTGTCTGTTCCTCCTACCCCCACCCCACCAAAAAATGACCTAATAATAATTGTATCTAGAGAGCAGTGACAGGAAAGTGGCTTAATTTTACTCACAAAGCCAAAATGTAAAGCTTTTTAGTTATACTCTGTTACCAGAATAAATGAACTGCAGAGTTTGTTTACTCTGGAAATAAAAAAAACAGTAAATCTTGGTTACAGAGGGGAAAAAATGCCTCAATTCACTAAAGCATGTCTTGCTAGCAAAATTGTCCGGACACTTGTAACAAATTTACATGAAACTAAGACAGCGACTGTGCTTCTAAAAAACAATAATCTCACTGATGTCTCTCAGGGAGACATATTTTGGCTTCAATTTTTTTAGCAAGACTCCCTAGTGAAATGAATAAAAAGTTCTGTTTAAAGATGGATATCATGACAAGTCTCATGGTAATTAACAACTCTAGCTTTGAAGGAATAGTGAGCTAATTGTCAGTATTCACAGGGGCTCCACTTTATGAAAGATCCTTCACAGTGGAACACAGAAGCATTTATCACTAAAGCATACAGCTATTTATTTTAACTGAGTAGTGATGATTTCTAACACAGTTTAGCTTTCTTGCCTTGCTTCAGGAATTAAATCAGTACAAATAACAGTTCTGGGAGAGAGATGATGTGAAAAAAACAACCTAAAGAATATTACAAGGGCATAAAACAGTTTATCTGGATTTTTCAATGCTATATATTTACCACAATTTTGCTCCAGTTTTAAGGAAACCTTTAAGACAACCTCTTAGCATGTATACTTCTAAAAGACTAAAGCTAGATTCTTATGAGTTTCAAGCAGCTTAGAACTGCTGTATGTTTATATCCCCTAAAGCCCTTATTAACTGCTCATTTGGAACACCAACAGCAAGGCTAGATCTGCCCTATTCCTTACAACTGCTCTAGAATTTGGTTGCCATACTGACTTGTATGCGCAAAATTCAACAGTAATTTTAAACAGTCAATTAATCTTTTGAACTAAGAGTTTAGTTCAACATTGCTAAACAACTATTTGTTGCTAAACTCCACTATTTGTCAACACTACTTATGCCAGCAGAAAAAGTATCTTTGACTCTTATGGGAAAAAGAGGCACTTTATTCATTTATTGTCAAACAGGTCAGAGAACTGCCACATGCGTGGGCTTAGCTGCCTTGAAACATACTGGAGCAAGGAAGATGAGGAATGAGGGAGGAAAAGCCTATGAAGGAAGCAGGCGGTGAAGAGCTTAAAATACTTTCTTCATTGCATACTTGGTTTATTACAAACTTACCCAACTGTTCCAGTGCTCTGCTGACAAGCAGTCCTGACCTGCGCATGGAAGTGCTCTTTGAACTGCAGACAGGCCTCAGGTGTGTACCACTGAAAATAGGAGAGAACAGCTACTAGGATAAATTGTCTGATGTCTACTTTGCAAGAAGTCAAATCAGCAAGGAAAAAAAAAAATAGGTAAGCAGATTAATTCAGAGAGTTTGTCAAGCACAGCTTTGGTTAGAAGGCATTAAGGCTTCCCCACAGTTACTTTTGTAAAAACTCCTTTGGACAGTGCCATCATTTGACCACCTTTCTGAGTGTCAGCATCCGAGCACTAGCTAAACTTTCACAGTCAAATACATTTGCTCATCATTCTGTACAATAGCAAGTACCTTAAATTATCCCAGTAATCTAAAACACACAAGACAAACACCGATGGGAGCATACCACCAGCAAGTCATTATTACTACGAAGTCTTTTAGATCTCTTATATGTGTAAAGCACTGGTTTTATTACTAGTTTTTAATTAGGCATTAGTTAAAAATGAGGAAAATGTATTTTACCTTATATTTGCTTAAAATAACTGTGGTAGTTTTCATAAAATTAAAAGCAAAATATGTGGCTGAGATCAAGCACAGAAAAACACGCTAACTCCCTTAAAAGGATGTTATGAACAACTGAAAAAACAGAATGGTAATTCCTTGTCCTTCCCTGTCCTTAACTCTTCTATTATACTTCAAGTACAATACTGTTTGGGGACATGAATGATCTTTTCTGTCTGTGTTTCTACAGTGCCTACTATATTTGATCTACTGTATGACTAAGGTTCCCATACAAACAGAAAATGAAAATTGCCTCTCATTCTTCAACCAAAGCCTCCATATAGATCTAATTAGACTTTTTGCATATTTAGTATCAGCTATGGTTCTTATTTCCCCTCAGTGCAGGAACTCTTTAAGCATGTAATTATTAATGTTTGGCTGAAATAAGATAGATATTATAAAATAACACTTTTGTGGCAAGAGTCACTTTCTGTAAAGGTTAAAAGAAGAAATGAGGATTATTATTAAAGATATCAGCAATGAATAGGAACACAAAGTCATGTTCATCTTTGAAAGAAATCCTTAAACAATTTGTAATTTTAGCAGAAGACAACAACTGTACATTAAATTAAAATACTATTAGCACAAGGGAAAGATAGCTCAATGTGGCAGGTGCTACATACTGTGACCAGAGGGATAAAGAATGCTTACCTTGGGAAACTGGGAGATTATTCTGTCCCTACTCACTGGGGGAACCAAATGCATTAGGTTGGACTTCATCCTCCAAATTTAATTAAATTCTACCAGACAGGAAATATGTAAAGAGAAACACAGTATTCAAGAATTCCTTCAATTCCAGGAAAACACAGTTCAAAAAATTAACAGTTCTTACAGACTCATGATCTTTTTTTCCTTTCAGTACAACTGGCAGTTCTTTGTCTTTATTTGCATTAAAGAAAACCTGTTTCTTACGTAAAAGGGACCACTTCAGTGCACATAGCTGTGGTAGCAAATAGTGGCTTTCTGAAACTACAAGGAACCAACTCTAATTCCATGGGAGGGCAGAGAATTGTTCACTTAATCCAACATAAGTGCTTGCAGTTTAGCCCTCAAAGGATTTTGCAGTGTTTAATTTAAAAATCTTGCTCATCATTGTTTGAAATGCCTCTGCACTAAGCCCATTAATAAATGTTAGGGGATACCAGATTTCATTTGGTCAGAAGAAGAAAGGAGGAAAGATGAAGCTGCCACATTTCTTGGCACAACATCAAACTTTTATCCAAGATCAGCTCAGAAAGAATGAAATCAGTAGCTAGTCCGACTTGCAAAACAAATAATGTTCACATGAAAATCACAAATGCATTTAGATATGCCACTTGAGACCTATCAATTTGGTTATGCAATGAAACCTCGTGGGTTGTTGGGGGAGGAGACCCTTAATAGGGTACCAATTTCTTACTGGCATTCAAAAGAATGTTTCTAATAAGAACATTCATCATGTAGCAAAGTGTAAGGAAGGACTCACCGTGCAGCAGCTGATGCAGCAGGAACCCAGCCACACAAACAGCTCAGCCTGCTGCTGCGTGGCCATAGCAACAGGCTTGCAACAGCTCCCTTCCTCCCCTTCTCTTACAGATTGGGAAGGCGGAGTTGGAGTAATTTAACTACACATAGGGCCCTAGCTTTAAAAGAACAAACTGGTTTTAGTGGCCATACAGATTCCTTTGATCAGAACCTGCTCCTTAATAAACCCAATGGTCCCCTAATCCTGTATAAGAAAATAGTTCCATTTTCTTCAAAGATAGTTTGTATATATGGATACAAAGAGCAGGATTAACCCAGCAGACAAGGAACTAATGGAGTGGGGAACCGTTACAGTGCTAATATTAAGCAATTATAAAGAAACTCCTGAGGGATTTTTTCAGAATTTCAACTTGATTTCATCTCAGCTTTAGAGTCAGGATGTGCATGCCACCAATGAGACATTCTGAATTACATAAATGTCTTTCCAGTCATTAGTAATCTTGCTTTCTAATGTACCAAACACTAAAGACAAGGAATAAGAAATCGCACAGCTCTTTTGTACTGTTAATCAACTCATTAGTTTAGGCAGCATTTAGTACGCTAGACTGTAATTTAGGATGCTAAAAGATTTTGCTATTTATTTCATTAGGATTTAAATTTCCAAATTTCAGGACAAAAGAAAGCTCTCACATTCTAATAGTCATATTTTGATAATGCTGGAACAGGCTTGGAACTCTTTAACATCCAGGAGACAAGACTCTCCCATTCCTGCAGCAGAGTACAAATGTTAAAGGGCAAATCAATGCGGACAAGTAATTCTGAACAAGTAAGTATATAACAAAAAGCTACAGTTGTGTTTTACAACCCCACGTTAAGAATAATGCTCAACAAAATTGCTAGTCCAACTACTTAGAATTAATATTTTATTCTCTTTTGTGAGGAATTGCTTTTAAATCACTTCAGGCACTCATGTGAACTCAACCATACTGAAACACCCACTTCCCCCCAAAGAATCCAGATTTGCAGCTGGTGGGTTATTCACCAAAGAAGGTGACATTGCAGAATTTATTTATTACCATATGCATAGTTCTATTTATCATGCTACTTGTGACCCTATAAAACTAGAGAGATTTAGACCCTTTTTATGGTGTGCTCCTGCCCTTTTGGCAAGTTTGAATGATTTTATGGCAATGTTAATGTCTTAAAATAACAGTTCTGAAAACAAAAAGGAAACCCCTGCCAGTTGGTAAGAGTTTCAAACACTAACTTGCTTTCTCCATATTCTCCTAGTTCTAGTTCAACACATCCTAAGCATGTGAAAATGTCATGTGTACATAGAGTGACTCACTGCTCGTCTGCTAGAGCTCTTTCACAAACTAAGCTACAAAAAAATCAATTCAACAATCTCAGTGAATCCAAAGTACAGGAGGGACCAAGGCAACCAAACAAAAACATTTTAAAACTGAGAGGCCATCTTCACTTACATTTAGTATATTTAATCTAAATCTCACACACACATAAATATGTCCCAATTTACCAAATCAACAAATTAGCCACACCATTAAGATCACTGACTTAATAAATAAAAAGCTGCTAATAATACTGAGAATGATCGGTACTGAGACCCAGATTTTCTCATCTTACAGAGCGGAAGGGGATTCAGCCACCAGGGAGGACTGGGAATATAGTGTCTCCATGGCATCACAACCCTCCTTACATCAACATTGCAGGAACAGTATCACCAGCAGATTCTGTGGATAGACAAAGGATTTGAGGAAGGCATTCAGAAGCTGCACAGAAAATAATTTAATGTCATGACCATGACCACTAACAAATATCAGTATTCCAAGCTATGGTGAAGGACAAGACAAAACAACTCACACCAAAAGGACTAAAGGGCAAGAGAAGTCTCTGATCTTCTCCTGCTCCTTCTATGTTGAGAAAAGTTCATGTTCTTCCTATTGAAATAGGGTGAAACTTTACAAATATATAGTTAGTGGAAGTCTAATCTAATTCAGGAAAATAACTTCTACTTTAAATAATCTGCTCTAAAATGTTGCAGAAAAATGAATCCTTTCCGGAAAATACTTTTTAAAGCAGTAATTTTTCTTTTATGATTTTGAAGATCAACAAACCAGAATCTACTCCTGTGTTTTATTTTAATCCGGCTGATCTGAATTACTTTGGCTTTGCAAAATCCAGTTTAAGAACTTTATTATAATTGTTACTCAAACATAATGAAAAACATCGTAACGACTTCTCTGTTTGCACAGAGAACTAACCTTTCATAGCACAAGCTGTTCAGTTTTTTTCCCGATGCCAGATCACATCTGACAATCCAGAGCATGCTTAAGTTGTGCTAGCAACATTGCAATGATATATTCTCCCTGTGTACCATCCTCTGAACACCACTGTAAATTTTAGCAGAATCATACTGAAAAAGATGGCTAAGTCTTGAATACAGTTACACAAAACTACCTAATGACAATGGAAACCCCAGCTACACATTCTAGCTGTTTATAGTGACATTCTGAGGAAGACTAGGAAAGAAAATTTAGTCCAAAGCTACCGAGCTCCCTTCAATCTTTATACCTCAAGGCACTAGCCTGCTCTCTCTCTGCCATTAACGCGACCACCATTTTGTTCAATCTGAATTTTTTTCAATTTTGTTCAACTGAAATTACTTTAAAAACAGGGGGTGAGGACAGAGCTTCCCTCCATGCTTTAGCAAAGAAGCGAGGTAAAACGGCCCCCACACTGCAACTCCGTGGCGGCGTTTCCCCCGTTTCCTCACACGCTCCCGCCCCTGAGTGGCCGCGCTCCAGCTCAACCGCCCGCGGCGCGCCGACTCCTGCGCTAGTAGCGGCCCCGGCTTCCAATTCGCTAACTACGCCGTTGACGCTACTCTCTCGCAGCACCCACCGTCAAACGCGGTACTTACGCTGTTGACGCAGGACCAGACTCAGTATGCTTGGCTGCGTACTTTTTATTCACGGAGTGTGGCGTACGCAAAGAGCTGGTTGCTGTGACAACCAGAGCACGCGGGCGCGAAAGGCGGTGGCGTAGCTGGCAGGAGCTGTGGAGCGGGAACCGGGGACGGGCTGAGGCGGCGAAGTATTGGTGGGACGGGGCGCCTTTGATTATTTAGTCTATTTCTTTTGTTTTGAAGAGGGAAGTGCAGTTGTTAGCAATTGTTTTAACTTTGCAGCTGGTTTTTTTGTTGAGCAGTTTTCAGTATCGGAGGTTGTATGCTTCTGTCAGCTGAGCCGTTTTCCTTGCTGAGGGAACGGGGAGGTCAGCCATCACCGATTCTTTCAAGCGTTAATGAATTCTGAGGGCGGGTTTAAACTAGACCCCTTTTGAAAGATTTTTTTTTTTTTTTTAATGGCGTTTTGTTTGCTTTTGCTTTAATAGCATTTTGAGCCCCTTCTCTGGTTCGGGACATTGGACTACTTCACTTTAACCCTTTGAAAAACATTCCCTCCCACATCTTGCAATTTTAAGCTTTCCCTCTCTTTTTTTTTTTTACAGTGTTCCGTAGAGAATTAAACCAGCTAAGACAATTCATCTGATGAACAGACGTTAATGCTGATAACCATGAACAATTCCAGCCTCTTCTTTCATAGCTTCCCAACAATGAGTGTGTGCTAAAATAGCTCTTCCGGGACACAGAGCACTGTTTAAAGTCAGTAGTTGTCTTTTTGGTACGTTATCTGTCCAGTCACCAGGTAGTCACTTTGGAGTATTCTTAGGGATAAGGGAGAATCCTTCCCAGGAAAGTCTGGGATGGCACATGCTCGTATCTCAGCCAACCTCCCCCCTGATACAGATCCCACAAAAGCTCCTATTGCATTTGGAAGGAGGGCCCTTCCTAAACTGAATGAGGAGTTACAGTCTCCTGAGCTGCTGACTCAGCAGCGGGCATTGATGGCGCTCTGCGATCTGGTCCATGACCCAGAAAATGTCTACCAGGCAATAGAACTAGGTAAGTGATCTGTTGTCATAAGCTTTGACACAATGGGGGGCAAAAACCCACTTTACTTTTGTGCGCTACTTTTGTCCTTGCAATACCTTTGATGACATAAAATGGCCGTGAAGATTTTTTGGTTTTAATCTCTACTTGTTTTACCTTAAAAAGGTAAAGTATATTATAATGCCATATACATGACAGTTATTTTAAGAGTATCCTCACTTTAAGATTTATCAGGCTCACTATAGGTTTTATCAACCCCTAAATAGAAAAGTAGTGCAGAATCTTTTCTTTCTTTTGTTTCTTCTGAATTTTAGCTAATTCCTAACATAGGCTAATTAAAAAAAAAAAATTAATTAGTTCACAGTTAGAAACACACCCCCTACCAATTCCTTGCCACGTAGTTAAATTTCATTTGCCTAGAACCTTCTCTAATCCTGTTATCCATGAACCTTTCAGAAAAAAAACAAAGCAGTGAATTTATGAATTTCTAACAACATAAAACTACTAAATATATTTTATTTAGAAAGGGAAAAAGAAAAACCTTTAGTTATCCTAGAGCAGGAAAAAAAGGCAAATCCCTTTTTTTTTTCCTTCATTAGACATTTTCTACCACGTGTGACATATGACAGTGGTACCTTCCTAGATTTTTCATCCCTGAGGTGCTCAAAATACTCATATCTCAGATCCCATAATAATAACAGGCAAAAAACTCTGATGAACCTTTTAATAAATAATTAATAAAATAATATTTAAATAAGGTTTACAAGTTCATTTGCAAAATCCATGAAGTCATCTTTTGCCATTGATTCCTTCAGCAGTGGATAGCATGGCATATCCAAATACAACTTTACTGGAGAGACAAAACATCAGAGCTTTTTATGCAGAACTCCTTCTCAGAAGTATCTTAGTGATTGTAGAATGAGTCTGTAACAAAAAAACCCTGGAACTTCATGAGAAATTAAGATACAAGACAATATAACCAAATTTATCATACTCATCAGGATTATATCTGGCCACCACTATTTTCAAAAACTTTTATCCCAGCACTTGGAAGAATGCTAAGTTTGGATTTTGGAAAAAAACCAACCCAAAACACAAGCTTATCTTCGCAATTTTCAGCAGTCTGTTGTGTATCTACATGATACACTGAAGAAGTCCTCCAGTTAGACACTGCTATTTTCTCCATTTACTTCATATTTTTTTCTTCATAAGAATACCAATAATCATGTTCAAAATTTATTAAGTTATTGTTTGATCAACAGTAACTGCTGAAGCAATGCGAGATTGTTGTTTGTTTGGGTGGGTTTTTTGACCAGTGCTATGTGTGTATACACATAATCATTAATGGTTCACCAAATCTATTTCTGTGTGTGAAAAGCAATGCTGTGTGTTTTTACATAGCCCATGCTACACCTAAAGAAAGTTTAAAAAAATGTAGGTGTTAATCCTGCAAACACATGCTTTTCTAAAAACATCAATAGCTCCATTGACTTATTTTGAGAGTTATGTCACTTCATAAATATTTGCAAGGTTAGGATTTAACTTGATACAGAAGTGAGCAGCTTGTTTGTAGCATGGCATTTTTGGCAGTAGGCCTTGAAACTTGAAAGTTTCTTCCCTACTTGAAATATGACAATGAGAGTTTCACCGTCAGGACAAGATGAAAATTCTGATTGTTTGCGCTTCAAATTGTGAGGTAAAAATGAGTATTGCTATTTTAAAACAATGTTGAAGGTAAGAAATGTTAAAATGAACTATTGTGTCTCATAGGATTCTTGGATAACCTGAAGAATTTGCTGCTACATCATGACAGTACTGTCCGACAAAAAACAACACAAATCCTCTATATAATGGCTGTGCATAATGTTGGCAGGTAAGTGTAATTCCAGAGTTTACTGAATGGTATGGGAAGCAATAAAGATGTTTCAGTGAGACGTAAGAACAGAATTTCTAAGTTTTGGCAAGATAGGTGCAATGTAAATAAGAGTATTTAGTTAAGAGTAAGCATCTCACAAATATATGAGAGTTTTATTATGCTTAGTTAAATCTGTCCTCCAATTTTGTTTGTAGGCAAGGGTTGATCCAAAATGGAGTAATTTCTGCCCTCACTGAGCTCTTGGATGATCCAGTAGATATCTGTCGGAAGAACACACATCAGATTTTTGAAATGATGGCAAAATTACCTGAAGGTAGGGATTTTTTCAGTAGTTAAGTATTCAAATAGGCAAAGCAGATAGGTGAATTTACCTGATTCCCTATGTAGTATCTTCCAGATTTATTTTATTCCATTTTCCTTGAAAATCATATTTAAAACCAGTATCTTTTCTATTTTTGCTCATCTTAATTTTCTTTAGCTAGTTTTCCTATGAGAATTTATTCTTTGGGTTCTAGCAGAAAACTTTAAGAGGTATGACTGTCATCTTTTTTATTGGTGGAGACAACTATGTTTTCTAGAGCTGTTTTTGCTCTTCTAAAAATTTGCAAATTGGGTAATAATAGTGAGACTACTTAGCCAAAATATAGAAAATGCTTTACACAGATAACAAGTGAAATGCCCCATGTTAACATAATGCATCTGTGAATAGTCCTGTCTATGTATTGGGGGGGCTGATCCTGCTAGATCCGTTAATTTTCTTAGGTCTATAAGCAAATTAAGGCTACCTGCTCAAGATACAGGTTGCGTGGACTGCACGCTTGAATTTGTATTTCAGAATCTTGCATCAAAACTTCACTTTGTCCTCTTCTGTTCAAAATTATGATCAGCTGTTCATCATGGTGCACTAATTTCACAGCACACAGGGTTTGTAGAAAGTTTTTCTGGTGTTAGGAGGTACAAATCTTGTGAAATTTGTTTTATGCCTTCCCCGCTCCTTGCAAGCACTGTAGGAGTAGACAAGTAGGAGGAGACAAATGAGCAAGTAAAGGCACTTTTCATCCATTGCGCTGTGTATTCCACAGATTATCTATTAATGTGTCTTTGACCTCAGGCTCATAGGCACTGTTTCTTAAATGTACACTTTGGCATTGCTTTCAGGTGGTGAATTTAAAAAAAAAACAAACCTGGGGGTGATGTAAGGAGCAGTGAAGAAGTTTGCTTTTTCTGATATTTTATTCAAATATTGTTTGCCCTTAGGTAAAATTGTTAAATCGACTTGGTAAGATACGAAGTTAAAAACATGATAAATTACACCTAACTTCAGATGTCAAATTGAGCTAGTCATCCTACAGTCCCTGTATAGCAGGAGAAAAATCAGTATCTCCAGGGGCAAAAAGTCTGACATATCATAGATGCTTAGTTTAGGATGAGATGAGTTCTGCTCTGGTGATGTCCTTTTATCTCCAGTGAGATAAACAGAAGCTGGGTTGACTACATCAGTCAGGCATCTAGCTGTTAAATGCTTCAGTCTAAATAGAGAAATCCAAGCTGAGAATTTCTTTGACTTGCCAGAAGAATAGGTCATTGTACCTTTTACATGCTTTCTTTATATTTATTACGTATATTTACAGTTTTCTAAATCGTTTATACACTAAGGGAATTTATGCTGATTTGTTACTTTTATTTCCAGATTCTATGATTATAATGTCAATAGTTTGCTAATTTGAACATTAGTCTTAAACTTTACTCTTCCAGTTGATGAAAATTATAATTTTAAAATTAAAATTTCAGTAGATAGAAATTATCAATTAAAAAGCCATACTATTTAAATTCATGGGAAAGTATCTTGTCTGAGGAATTCTGTTACATTACCGGTGCTTAAAAAAGAATTAAATGAATGCTTAAAGCCTCGCTGAGTGAGTGTACATGAATTCTAAGAATATAAAGATGTATTTTTACATGCATGCAGCCCTTTTTAAAGTCCTAAATAATTGAATCCATATGAAGGATATTAATATGGTGGGCTAAACAACTTTGTGAACATCACTATAGAAAACCAGGTTTTCTGTTAATTTAACTTCACTAGCCATTTTACAGATTTTCAAATCAAATGAGACAGGGAATTAGCTGAAGTAAATTTTGACCTGTCTGATTGCCTTTAAAGAATTCTTTCCCTTACCTGTGTAGACAGATAGATACCATCCTGTGAATGTGTGGATCATAATAGAAACTTATGGGAGAAGAAAACTTAACAGAAGTACATAAATGTTGCCAAATTTTTGCAGATCGCTATTAATCATTAACCATTCATCCATACTGGCTAAGGCCTTCTTAGCCCTTGTGGAACTACATAATTCAGTAATAAGCCTTGCTATTCAGTCCCTGCTGTGCTGAACTTTATTATTAACTCTAACCTTCAGATGTGGCTCTCTCTCTAGTAGGCTAATGCAGGAGCTTACCACTTGTCTCCTTTTGCTGATGAGTTTTCAGATGTGTGCATGATGCACAACTTAAGGTTTCAGTTTAAACAGGGAAACTGCCTCAGGGTTTTACATGTAAACACCTGCCTGCTTTTAGGTTCTATCTCTCAAAACTCAAAGCATTTACTAAGTAGGTTGGAAGTTTAGCTACGTAAGCAGAAAATATTCACTGGAGGATGAATAGAAGTTGTAGGGGGAAAAAAGCAATTAAAAAAATAGCTATCCATGTGGCCCTCAGAGGAAGTGAGGCCTTTTTTTTCAGTGTTTGCAGTTAGACACTTTCTAAAAAGCAGGGACTAAAACCAAGGGTTATATAGAAAGCATTTTATTAGAACTGTCATTTCTATTTAGAGACTTACTGTAGCAGTAAGCAATGCTAGCTCTTGGTGGTGCCAAAACATAAAACGTTGCTTATTAAGAATTCCACGTAAATCAAAATACATTGCCCAAACCAGAGGATATGTAATGGTACACCATACTGCCACTCAGGTCTACTCCCTTTATTCCATCTTTGTCCCTGCAGGCATCTGAATATATCATCTTAGGTCAGGAGCCACTGATGGGAACTGTCACAACTGTAAAAACAGTTTGGTGATAATCAGGAAATGTAAGATTATACTATACAAGAGAAATCAAGTTGCATCCTGGAGTGGAAGGATTATCCAACCCCTGCTGAGCTGAGAACTCAGCAAAAGCTGAGAGCCAGCTGCAGCAGTGTCTCTCCTCAAAACCTTGCCTTTGATTGAAGGCAAAGGATTCACAGCAGCTCTGAAGTGAGTAGGAGCCTCTGTCAGACAAAGACCAGCTTCCAAATCATGTTACAGCCCCAACTTAGTGAAAGTTGCCAGTATTTACAAGAAAGGCTACAGTTCTCTGAGTGGTAGTTGCTTTTCAGTGAGGCTTCTCTTGACCTAAGACTGATACCAGTTTCTTCATTTTACCTCTCCCACTTCAGGTCTTTGTGGCAGCTAAGAATCAGGTTTTCCAAATCAAATTAATATCGAGACTTGTTTTGGGGAACGGTTCTGGAATTTTGTCTCCAACTTTTTCCCTATTTCCCCCCCCCTTCTATTTATAAGAAATTAAAAATGAATGTAGAGGAACTGTTTACATTTGTGAAGCAAGTACAATTTAATCTTTATCTTCTGATCCTATATTCAAATCTCTCAGAGAGCATGATGTGTCTAGCAGTCTCTTTATAGCTTGCTTGAGTCATACCTTTCTAGGTGAAATTCTCTTCCAACACTTAATTTCTTCAGCTACGAAATGATGCCAAATTTTGACCATTTCCTCTGTCAATGTTTGTGCTATCAAAAGCTTTCAAGATTTGTTCAGGATAGAAGTCCTTGACTAGATTAAGTTAGTCTCACATAGCTTTCTATAGACCAGATTTTCATACAACGTCCTTTGACAGTTTTTGGGGGGTGAGGGGAGGGAGGGAATAAAAAAAACCTGTGATCCTCAGTCTGTCAGGTATGTACAGTCTGTAAGATCAGTGGTGTAGAAGCTGAGCTAGCATGTTGTCTGTGAAAGCATCTCTGAGTAATTACCCTTGGAAAAAGGTGTTTTTCTGAGCCACATGTTCTTTTTATTTAGATAAAAATATAACTGTCATGGTTTAACCCCAGCCAGCAACTAACCACACAGCCACTTGCTCACTCCCCCGCGGTGGGATGGGGGAGAGAATTGGAAGAGTACAAGTGAGAAAACTCGTGGGTTGAGATAAAGACAGTTTAATAAGTAAAGCAAAACCTGTGCATGCAAGCAAAGCAAAACAAGGAATTCATTCACTACTTCCCATGGGCAGGCAGGTGTTCAGCCATCTCCAGGAAAGCAGGGCTCCATCACGTGTCACAGTGACTTGGGAAGACAAATTGCCATCACTCCAAACGTCCCCCCCTTCCTTCTTCTTCCCCCAGCTGTATATGCTGAGCATGATGTCATATGGTGTGGAATATCCCTTGGGTCAGTTGGGGTCAGCTGTCCTGGCTGTGCCCCCTCCCAGCTCTTGTGCACCTCCTCGCTTGCAGAGTATGGGAAGCTGAAAAGTCTTTGACTTAGTATAAACACTGCTTAGCAACAACTAAAACAGTGTGTTACCACGTTATTCTCATGCTAAATCCAAAACACAGCACTACAACAGCTACTAGGAAGAAAATTAACTTTATCCCAGCCAAAACCGGGACAATAACATATATAAAATATACATGCCTGTATTTAAGGATTGGAAGGTAACTCCTTGAGCAGAATTGTTTTACTGTAGAATGGACTCGCATACAGATGGCTACTTACAAGAAAAACAGAAAGGTGCTAAAACTGTTTTCTTTGCTATGATACAATTTGGGGAATTATCAGGGAGAACAGCAAATATTTTCCAATAAGTAGCAAGAGTCACAAGGCCTGACATAATTCATTTGACATATTACAGATACCGAAATAGTCTCTGCCTGGTAATTCAGCCTTCTTCAGCTAGCCAAGAAACTGTCTTCCTCTGTGCATTTACTTCTACACCTCGCATCCAGATAATGAGATAGAATGTACCTTGTATCAGCTGGAGGAAGTCAGCAACTAATATGCCATTCCACAGCTAGATTTCTGATGTTTTCTAGAGCTGAGGTAATTTACAGGGCCAATAAAGCAATACGTTCCACACTAGACAAAAAAGAACATAAGCTGTACGTGCACTTGGCATGAATTGTAGTTGTTTTTGTTAACTGTCACTGGTCAGTGACTCCAGTTAGCTCTATGCCAGGCCACCTGGTCTTTCTCCAAACAGGAGTAATTTAGGAAAATGTGGTTATTTTAAGCAAATCCACTTGCAGACTATTTTTGA